CAGTTATGCATAATTATGCATAACCCTTGGAAGCCTTATGAACAATTATGCATAACTGTTTGAAGCATTATGCATAACTCTTGACCATTATGCATAATTATGCATAACCTTCAAACCTTATGCATAATTATGCATATTTATGCATAATTATGCATAATGTTGCAAATTTAGATTAATCCCCAGGGGGCAATCGATGGTGGCTACGTATTTCTTACATCATTTTTACCTATAGTTTGCAATTTTAGCCCATCAGGGTGTAAGGTGGCTGAGATATGGGAGGCCAGTCCGGAATTAAACTGGAAGTCCGGAATTAAACTGGAGGCTGTTATAATAGAAAATTATCATATAGCCAGGTGGCGTTGACCAATCAGAAGCCCCCATTCCATATTGATTATGACGCCATAATGTCACAGCATGATACAAGTATTGCCAGGTGTGTTTTATTCTCACAAGTGTGCTTTGTTGCACAATAAAGCACGGCCCGGAGCAAACCATTTGCAGGGGAGTTGACTCTTTTTGCTGACATTTGTAGCACGTTTCCTTGTTGAATAGAAATGTTTACCATCTTGTCATCACCCAATTTATTTAGCAATACATAACAAAATAAAGACCATGTCAATACATGTGAATTGTGAGCGAAAGAAAAGGAAACATATTTTGCGCCACCCCCCTAGTAAGTACATTCCTGTATGAAAAATCCAAATGACCTCAGATGACTTCAAATGGAAGCTTGTTCTATTCTTTTGGCCCAAAATAACCACAAATTGAATACCGGTTCTGTTCCGAAGTTCCGGTGAACTCAAATGAACTCTGATAGAACAGGTAAAATCATCACACTAAAGGGCATACAATTTTAGACAATGGTGTGTCAAAATTTGTCCTTGGAATCGGGAAATATGCACAGGAACAATGGCCAGTGGACGGGAGGATAGAGGAGTGACTGTAATGGTTTGTTATATAATTTTGATATATGTGTTATACAGGAATGTGTTACTCTCTACTGTGTAAGTTTTGATAGGCTATATGATAATAGCGTTAATGGCCCGCCCTTTCTCGGTGAATATGGTGTGATAAAGCCTTGTCAGTTGCTATAACCACCTCATAAAGCCACCTCGTTCACTGTTGCTCACTCGATGGCTTTATTCGGTGGTTATAGCAACTGCCAAGGCTTTATCACACCATATTCACCTCAGGGCGGGGCGTTCGTGCGTGTGTGTGTCTGTCTGTAAACACCATAACTCTAGGAGGCTTAAATGGATTGACTTGATATTTGGTAGGTAGGTAGATCTTGATGAGACCTGAAAATGATTAGATTTTGGGCCCCCTAGCGGCTTCTTATGGTACTGGAGCTGAACTTCCGGTTTTGATATCTCATGATCTAGACATGTTACCGTCACGAATTTAAATGATAGGTAGCTCTGGAACTGCAGGGGCGTTTGTTTAATGATATTCAAAAGGGGATAACTGAAGAACCATTTGACGGATCGTTATAATTTTTGGTACGTAGGATCTTGACATAATAATGTGATAATTTTGCAAATATGGATGTAATTTTCATAATTTATGAGGAAATTCTATAAATCTGTTGCATTACATGATAGGACTATTCAAGCTTGTGGAATATGTAATTGGGAACGAGAAAAACACAGGCAGATATTTATTATGTAAATTAAGACTTAATTTGCATAATTAATGAGAAAATGTTGTAATTCAACAACAGAACTGCCTGGAATTTCATACCTAGGGTATTTGAAAGTTAAGTGAAGGTGAAAATCATTAAACATAACTTATTCAAATAAGAACCTCATTTGCATAATTCATGAGGAAATGCTAGAATGGCATTCTTTGTTAAGACAAGACTGTCTTTTGGTGGAGAATATGATCAACTGATATAATTCATGGAAATGAGGATTCTATTTGCATAATATCATCATTTGGAGCAAGTATGGGGTCGTGATAGTGTCCACTTGGTCAGAAAAATTAGTTCCATGGACAGAATAATGCTAAGCATTTCTGACATAAGTCATATAAACACACTACTTTTACAAGTTCCATCTCTGTCCAAAATGCACAGATTTTCACGAGGGCCACATCATATGGGATGATGTGGACGTGTTTAATGATAATGAGCTCTCCGGCGCAGTGCCTGATGGGGTATATGACGCCAACACGGAGATCCACTACTGCTGCCGTGAGGACGGCTCCTACAGGTGACGTCACCAAAACCATCGGCAATGTGTAGAACATCTATAAATACACTTGGCTACGTACGTGGTAACCCAAGATGACGAAAACATTCACGTAGATATGGCCAGAAGTTATTGCTGTCAGTCAGAATGCCATTTCAAGTGTAGAGGCATCCTTTGTCTCCTGCACGCCGAATTTGTAGATTGTCAAACGTTGCACATCATAGACCAAAAGTGTTTGTTTTTTCTGCATAGAACACCGATACGTCTTCCAATCATGGCTCCCTTCTACCTGTTCCGCCATCAGCAGGGGTGCCAGATGGTAAGAGTAAATAGTATCCTTCGGGGCCAATAAGTCAAGCATTCATGCTCGCAAGCACGAGGGGTAGGCCTATTTGCATAATATAAATGTCAGCACCAAGGACAGGTCTGACTGCCCATGTGTAAATGTGTGAACGTGAGTCAGCACCAAGGACAGGTCTGTCGGCCTACGTGTGAACGTGTCTCAGCACCAAGGACAGGTCTGTCGGCCTACGTGTGAACGTGTGTCAGCACCAAGGACAGGTCTGCCGTATGTGTGAACGTGTGTCAGCACCAAGGACAGGTCTGCCTATGTGTGAACGTGAGTCAGCACAAAGGACAGGTCTGTCGGCCTATGTGTGAACGTGAGTCAGCACAAAGGACAGGTCTGTCGGCCTATGTGTGAACGTGAGTCAGCACCAAGGACAGGTCTGTTGGTCTACATGTGAACGTGAGTCAGCACCAATGACAGGTCTGTTGGTCTACATGTGAACATGAGTCAGCACCAAGGACAGGTCTGCCTATGTGTGAACGTGAGTCAGCACAAAGGACAGGTCTGTCGGCCTATGTGTGAACGTGAGTCAGCACCAAGGACAGGTCTGTGCCTATGTGTGAACGTGTGTCAGCACCAAGGACAGGTCTGCCTATGTGTGAACGTGAGTCAGCACAAAGGACAGGTCTGTCGAACCTCATTTGTGAACGTGAGTCAGCACAAAGGACAGGTCTGTCGGCCTACGTGTGAACATGAGTCAGCACCAAGGACAGGTCTGCCTATGTGTGAACGTGAGTCAGCACAAAGGACAGGTCTGTCGGCCTATGTGTGAACGTGAGTCAGCACCAAGGACAGGTCTGTCGGCCTATGTGTGAACGTGAGTCAGCACAAAGGACAGGTCTGTCGGCCTATGTGTGAACGTGAGTCAGCACCAAGGACAGGTCTGTAGGCCCATGTGTGAATGTGAGTCAGAGCCAAGGACAGGCGTTTAATACAGAACAATTCTGTAGCTTGGCAAATTCCAAACATATAACTCCTTCTTCCTTCAGGTCGAAGGCATCACCAGTCCTGTGGACGAATGGTTCTGGTTCGACGACGATGATTGGTTCAACCATAATGAGCTGGGTGGGGCCCATCCCTATGACGACGGTGATCCCGACAACCACAAAGTCCACTACTGCTTCTACCAACGGGATGAATTGGCCTCATAACTGCCTGCAGCTCTCAGTTTCTGTCAGAACCAAAATATACAGAACTAAAAAAAAGAAGTTTTTTGCTTGCTTATTCGTTGTGTATTTCGATCTCGGGTATATCTATTCTCTGATGGACGATCAAATCTTAAAAATTGGACACATTCTCAATTCTCAAATATACCTAAAAAAACGGACACAAGACAAGAAGTATACAACAAAACAGGAAGTATAGATACACACTCTCCACACCATTTTAATAGCAGCGTATTCTGTACAACAAAATTTCTGATGATTCATTTTAAAATTAATTCCTTTGTTAGATATTTTAAATGCAACATTTTGCTTGGATTGACTTCATTCTTATCATTTTCATTTTTGTACACATTCAATTAAGAAAATAGATAGAGGTAGATATTAGCTCGGGAGCAAATACAGACCAAGTTCTACTATCTATTCAGCCTGCAAAAGAGTCTGGTGGAAACTAGTTCATATTATGTATGGACTGAAATAAATATATCAAGAATACTACAGTTATAGAAATATGCAAAGTGTAGACATATAAATGTTGTTAAAACACACAAAAAACAATAGATGAGCACAGTTTTTTGTGGCAAGAAATAACACAAAGCTTTATGTTTATCGAGGAATAAAAATATGCATGCTGCCCTGACAAGACAGGAGTGCCTTACAGAAAATGTACATCTTGGTGTAGAGAACTATTTGAGGCACTTGAACGTGAAATTTTCTTGTCCTGGGAATTTATATCAATGAACAATCCATTTACAATTCATTTGGCAATTTTGTAGCTTCTGAGAGCCAACAGTCACCAGTCTGTGACTAATTAAACTTATAAATGAATTCATATATCAAACAAAACTATATAGTTTCTAGATTAACTACATATCATACACACACACATACACATTCACACCTACATAAACATGCCGACTTCAACCAAAAACCATTAAAAAGTCTCAAAAAGATGTTCAACATCAGGAATAACAATTATCCTTTCAAAAGTATTCTCCATGTTGGACTATTGACAATTTTCTATTACAATTGTATTCCTTCAAATTATATTCAATCATTATACCGTACCATCATATCATAAACATGAGATTATGAATTTATAATTTTGTCAATGATTGCAACATTATGAAGAATTTAGTTTGCCTTTAAGATTATGTACAGCATGTATCTTTAAAAGAACTGCAGTGAATTTGCATATCTCACAGAGAACTTCTTCAGTTGTGCCCTGTTACAATACGAAGCAACAATTATGACACTAACTGTAGACCGAGATATGTTTTTGCAGCCTCAAAGGAATACCGTATGCCTGTATCATTCAGAAAGCCTGCCATCCTGTTAACCTTTCCTCTGCTGCCTCAAACACCAAATGGCTACCTCAGCAGGTTGAATTTAAGCAGAAGACTCCTTTGTGTTACCATGACTCCCATTGCGTCCATGCAAATGGACCTTATGTTGTACCCCCTTAAACCTGTTCCTTGTCCTATCAACCATAACAAAGCAAGCAGACTTCGCATTTCTTAAGGACAGTGTATGATCTTCCACATATTCCTCAAGGTGTTCTAAGGACTTGGCATGTCTGAAGCCATATGTTTGCCCTGGACCAATATTCTTCAGTGAAATAATATGTCCCACTGACAATTGAGACCCCCCTTTGCTCAAGTAGTTGGGATCATCCAAGCTGCTGTTCGTAGAGATGTTGTCATGTAAATTGGGGGAGGACTGTACCATTCCCAGCATTGAGGAGGGAGAGGAGAGGTTAGTTTGCTGTATCCCCAGACAGGGTAGGGAGGACACTACAGCAGGCTGATTCCCATCACCAGCTTCAGAGTCCACCTCTACAGCTGAACTGTTAGACTCTACTGTACGCCTACTCCTGCTGCATCCACTCAGAGAAGTAGTTGTAGCAGAGGTTTTGTCAGTGTAGTGAGAGGAACTGGGCAGCTCATTCGAGCACAGGGCATCAGAGGGAGTGTTAGTAGAGTCCTGGGTAAGGCTGGCTTGGTCAGGAGGTACAAACTCCTAAGGAAAAAAAATGTTGTATATGACAATAAAGATAGTGAGAAAATTTGCAATGATACAGAAAACACAGGTGGTACTGTCTCCATTAAGTCCAGGTATTACAACAAAATTAAGCAACATGTTGCAAAATACAGCATTTTACAAGTTTTGTCAATTACAGCCAATGTGTAACATCTACTTTCATAATACCACCATTATTTGTGGCCATTGATCATACTGTATGTTCAGCCCAAAGGCTCTCCCCTGTCCTGACAAGCTAAGGGATCATAAACTTTTGTCCTCATCACCCTAGGATGAGTCTTGCACAGCTGGATATGATGTATACTCAGTCTGTGCTTTGGAAATCACTGAATCTGCATCAGATTCACTATTTTTAACTATCATCGTTTAAGTGGCAGTATTATGAGAGTAGACAGTCTAAAGATGATTTGAAAAGAAGTGATCTTCAAAATTAATGAAATCAGCAATGAGTCAGAGTCATCCTACCTTGTTACAAGGAACCGCTTTGTCTATTATTCCATTGGAGATGATTGGTAAAGGCAAAGAAGAAAATTCATGCAATGACATACAAAATAGTCTGGGTATCAGTCTTCATCAGCTTTTCAGGTCTCCTCTTAAGTGGCTAGTTGCAGCTCAAAGATCTGATCTATATGTGAGCAAAAACCTGACGGTACAAAAACTGTGTACACACATAGGATTGTATGAAAACTGAGTGTGTACAATCAGCCTGCTTTGACATACTTCAAGAACATAATGCCTAGCTGAGAACATAATACCTAGCTGGCTATGCAGTTTTTATACCATCAAGTTTTTGCTCATGTACAAATCGTGTCAAAGAGCAGTTTTGCTGGACAGACTGATATACAGGCTAATTATGCCACATTGTGCCAGGGCTGTTCCAAGTAATGCAGTCCCTCCCGTGGGTGAAGGACCAGAAAACAACCCTGACGAAGGCTTTTGAAACAAAATTACAAGAAATCAATGTTGATTATAATCATTTGCAGCAGAAAATAATGAGCAACGAACACAATATTTCCTTTACATCACTGATCATCCACAACAGTCTATCACAGAATGTTTTAGCTGCTATCACAGCTCAGATTCGTAATTTTTGACATGCTATGAATAAACTTTATGCAACTCTCAATGGAACATAGTTACATAATTCATGTATTACCTTAGAAATCAGTTCAACAAACAACACTGTGCAATTGATTAATAAAAATTATCATATATCTTGTTGAGGCCTTCAAAATGTACCATGTATAAATCAAAGGCAGTTTCAAGAACAGAGGCCAGTATCATTTTCTAAAACAACATATTTTCATTTATACAAAATCAACCAAATTTGTAAAATTTAGTTACAGATTATTAAAATGACAAAGAATTGAACTATTTATAATCCAGTGACCGAGTAGTGCCCCTCCATGCAGACCCATGTGTGGGCATGATGGGAATGGGATTATTGCTGAAGATCAAGGTCATTTTAGGCCTAAGGCAGGAGGGAATTTTTGATGGTAAGGTGGAAAATTGATGAACAAGTATCCATTTACACAACACGTTACAACGTTTAACCTCATTTTCAAGATCACCCCTGGATTTCGTAACATCGGCTGATTTTTAAACCAAATGGGAAAAAATTGCTAAGGTTATGAATCGACACGAACAAGCATCCAGAAATGAATTGCAAAATAATATCTAAGTTAACATAATTTTCTAGATCAACCCAAGAATGTTCTGTATCTGTATCGGTACAGCTGGTGTACTAAGTGCTATACTGGTAACTGCCCTTTGGCCAACACTTTGAAGTTTGTCCACTGGTTGTTTGCAAAATAATATGTTTCAGTTGGCTGTAATTGATTTAATTTGGAGGACACTTACTACATTGTAATAGGTGATGATGACCAGAATACTGAATGTAACTGCTGCCAAGTCCAAACTCAGGTCAAGTTGCCAATGCAATATTTTGGGATTCAGAAAAATATCATCTACAGAACCAGAACAGTAGCTTCAGTCCTTGAGACTGCCTTTAATGGTATCAATAATAATGGTTTAAAAAAAGCCAGACCTCAATTAGTTACTCTGAACCTAGCAGCTTCATTTTGCAAAGGTACCCTGTTATTAGTGAAAGACAATTATTATTATGATAGAATTTGTTCTATTCCTAATATTGCACTTAAATTAAATCATTCTAAATCATTCTTAATTTGGTGCAGTTAATGTACTTAATAACAACAAAGTTGTTACTGTGTTCCAAAATCCTTCTTGCTTCAGGGACAAGCTATAGATATTATGCAAGGAAATTCATTTAAAATTTCTTCATTTCTTCTTTTCCTAAGAAGATTAAAAGCCAAACTGCGGCATCAACACTTTTTAGAGTGTTGACTCTTTTGCTTCGAGGAGGAAAATCTCTCCACTGTTCTCATCATAGCTGACTTGTTCCCCAAACTTCTCTCTCAAGTGGGAAAGTACCTGGTTCAGTGATGGTCTCCTCCCAGAAACCCCTTCCTGGATGAGTACATTTTGTACATCATCTTCAGGGTGTCTGCTGCCCAGACAAGGGAACAAGACTCTTCTGAGGGAAGCCTGGTCCTGTGTGCTTGGTTGTGTGTCTTTGTCTGTTGTGCAGCACTGGTTTGGACCACAGGTTGTGTTGCAGTCCAGGAGACAATGGCAACTACTCCCAACACCCTGAAACAAAATAAATTCTTACTCAAGGTTTTGTGTAGCAAACGGATCTCCCCCTAAGTGATGCCATCCGAACAGGACGTCACTCTGGTTAGCAAACCCACGTGGAAGTTCCCCAATCAGACTCTTAATTAAGTGGGCGGCTAGTCGGCTTGTTGGCAAACTTAGTGTAACTCTAAAAAGTTTAGTTCTTCCCAAATAACCGCTCCGGTAACTCACAGTGAAAGCTACTGTTTGGTGAGTCTGTGACTGCATTGTGTTCCTTGACCCTTGATTGTATTGTGTTTCTTTAAAACCCTTTTGGATTTTATACCAGGCTAAATTATCCCATAAAGAA